TATATATATATATATATATATATATATATATATATATATATATATAAATCTATTCCAAATAGACTTTTGTAGAACACAGTGTGCTCAATACATAGAATACAGAGCGTGTTATAACAATTATAAATACGATTCTTTCAATTATAGTTGCTATATATACTCTAAGGCAACGTACTAATGAAAACACGGTCAGAATTTAACCTTAAAGTAGCAACTAATTGAAAGAATTGTATTTATAATTGTTAAAATTGTTTAATAAAAGCAAACGCGAAAATAGATACTAGTGGGTTAAATATGTCCCCCATTATATTATCTAACTGCAGTTTTGCGCGCAAAATGTCTTTGCACTGGAACCGCGTATATAGGTTTATATATATATATATATATAACTAAAAACTAGCTTATAGCTATTATATATGCGTATAATATGCCGCTTAAATATACCCCACATGGCCTCTTATAAAGCCTATAGCCTATACATAGATATTATTCTATATACAATAATGTATATTATGCATGGGGTGTTCCCAAAAAACTCTATACTATACAATTGAAATCATGCACCCATAACAATATGCAATGCAATGCAATATAGAGTTTGAATGCCTAAGCACCTTTTTGAGACCCACAAGTGTAAATGTTTGACATAACTCATAAGCATTTTTATGCATGATCATAATAAAATTTGCCCTTTGTATCCACAAATAATTTTTATTAGCAATATTTAGTACGCTTTATATACAAATATTATGAAAAGCAATTTAAATTTACAACTTAATTTTCGTCATATATCAATACAGCAGTATATATATACGTAACTATTATATAAATTTCACTTACTATGACTCGTGAATGCGGAATGAGTTTCACAATGCAACTGAACAATTTTTGTCTGCATTTTATGTATATATATAATATGTATAAGTGTTGTTGCTAGTAATGGTCTGCCAACAATTAAGTGACGACATCATCACATCGAAATTATATGCATGTGTGCTTATACAATGCATATTAACATTGTATATATTAGGCATTGGACAAACATCTTGCATGTCCACTCAAACTTACAGATCTAGATCAGTGCCCAAACCGGCTTAATGGACGGCATGGCAAGCATCAGTTGTATATATATATATTTTTGCCGCCTAATTAATATACAATTATTTCGACCTTATAAGAATCTTGAATATATTAAGCGACCCTATATATGATTAATGTTGGTTAACTCCCTTTATAGGCTCACACACGGAAAGTTTTCTTTGCAGCATTATTAAAGATAAAGTATATATATATATGCGTTATGGAGGATAAATACACATAAAACATATGTGCATGCACATCATTGATTAATATCGCGCTTATAATAGCCATCATGCATGCATAGTTTTTAGATTTTTGGAGGCCAAATTTTTCTTATTAAGAGAATAATTAGCACATATTCGGCCCAAAAAGACAATCTGGCTATATTATGCCGTATTAAAAGCTGCGGTTCAATATTGATGCATGTGGAAAATGAAACTCTCTGACCCCAATTTTCTGCTTGACTATATTTTTGAACATGCATGCATCCATATTAATAAACATCTGCCTGATTATATATATACCAATATACACGCAAAATAATCACGCTTAATTCGTACCGCAGATTGCTTTTTGCTTGTGGTTGTGAGGATCGCCAATGATATATATCTGAGTGATCTGACTATATATATGTGTTCTTAGCTACCTCTTAATATACTGATTATATTCTGATAGCGCTAGAAGAAAGAGGAAAAACCGAACATCTGCATCCCCATACAGACTATATATACTCCAAATCATAACACCATCAACATGCCGAAGATCAACCCCCTAGCTGCCACATTCCCAATGATTAATTATAGGAATACATTTCTAACATGCAAATAGGTATCATGGCACGTCGAATGCTCGACCACCGAAAATTCTAAAACATAGAAACTATTCTGAAATAAATAACCCTCGTGCACTGCATGCATGATGAGAATCTGGGAAAAATGCAAAAGGAGCGCGCGCATTTTCTTCATATACTTCCGAAATAACAAATTTATTACAAATACTGATGTTCAAAACATGATTTTATCGCCGTGATGTATTTATAGAAAAAATGTCGTTTCCTTTTTGTCTTTTTTAGCCGTTTAATTGATTAATATCAAACTCATATTAATGACATTTGCCTACATGGTTGACGCATAAAATTTGCATAAAATTAGAGTTAATTTTTCAGGATTTCTTAATTTCCCGTTGTCATAAGAATCGTTTGCTAGATTTACCTCTTGATTCTTAAACTTGAAGTCTTTACCTATTGATTCATATATAAAATTCTAAATTTAAACCAAATTAAGGTCATTTTCACCGTTCATTTCCGCGACAGACCTGCGTTTCAATGGAGTTTGTCGGCTTTCCACGCGCCTTGTTTCGAAGATTAGGCAAGAAAATCAAACTGGCCACTGATATCTAAAGGGAATTTACCTTCAAATCTGAACAGTTCAATAAATTTCGAACATTTTGATGCTAAACACTGCCGGTTTATGCAAATTCCAGGCCCGTCAAAATGCCTTCGAAAACTTTTGCTTTATTAATTTTGTACTCATAGTTGCATGTTGCATAAGTGCTTTATGGGAAGAGGAGGGCAACGAAAGGCACTCAAACGAAACACTTTACACCACCTGTTTATACGCTTAGAATCAGCAAGTAAGTGAGCTATGATATTTTATGTTTTAACATAGTTTATGGATTTTCTCAGTCACCCTTTCTCGGGTCTTTGCGCTATGTTGAAATTTAAAACGGCGAAAGCTAATTAACTATTTCGGAAAACTGGCACCAGGCCTGAGCAAATGTCCGGTTTCATAGCAAATGAGTTTGATATGTAACGAGTGTATTCATCGTTTTGAAGAAAGTAAGTGGTAAGGTTTTACTTAGTCTTAGACTTAGTTTTGCAACATTTTTTCGCGATGTGTGATCTTAGCTAGTTTTGAATAATTTCGTGGTAGGTATTCCTGAGATAAATTTTGAAATTTCAAAATACTGATAGTTTCTTGGTTTCGGTTTAAAGCTTCGAAATATTGGCCGTTTTCACACTATAGAGACGCATAATTAATGCATCTTGAATATTTTTTGACTGGTTATTCGTCTTCAGTATAAAGACGGACAACAGACGCATAATACGTCCGAGACGAATAATGTTTAGTTTTTCGTCTTATATATAGAGACGCATAACCAACGGTAGGTCGTCTAGACGAATAATGCGTCTGTTGTCCGTCATATACTGAAGACGAATAACCAGTTAAAAAAATTTGAAGACGCATAACAGATGCATCATGTGTCTCTAGTGTGAAAAGTGAAAACGGCCATTGTTGGCGTCCCTTTGTTTTTCCCTCTCTCCCTAGGTCTAAAATTAAGCCGGTCAGTTTGACGGTGCGCTATCCTTAATTGTCAGTCGACACATCACACATCAAATGCGATAGAACCTTTTGAATTCTTCTATGACCTAACCGTTTGAAGATCATATTTATTATATTTGCCAATTTGGAAAATAATTAAAAAACAAACAAACAAAAAACTAATGATGATGATGCTTGGACTGAGCTGGTACAATGAATGATTGATCTTGTCCTTAAGTGATGAAGAGAATGATAGTGAGTTATAGAACATATAGTAAACATAAATTATAGTGAAGAAACTTACACATTTGCACCTGACTTTGCCTTTCCTTATCTTTGTGTTATATAGAATATCTTTAATTTCTCAATAAGTTTGGATCGTGAATATTCTAATATTCATCTATTTCATTGCAATATTATTCCTGAAAATAAAATAAAAATGGTAGACTGCACAGGTGCACGCCCGCACTTATCTTTGAGAGTTGCCAGTTAGGGCATGTGCGCCAATCTAGGCCAAAATGTTTCACGCTGGGGAAGTATACATCTTGTCTCTCTTGCAGTCCACATATTATACAATATAGAATCTAGTATGCGACAATTTTATTCTGACTGACTGAACTAAACGGTACGGAGAGAACCGATACGCACACCCCTGATTAGACATTACCTTAACGAATTTTACGATTTTAAAAAATTAATAGAAAATGAATTACTAAGAATTACCAAGATTCAAATTAGAAGAAAAAAATTATAAAAAATAGTAATGTTTTGTTTTAACGGAGGTTTAAACGAAAATTAAAATTATCCACAATTAAAAAGTTTGAAAAATTCAAAAACTCATGATAATTCTAATCTAATTTGCTGAGAAATATTACAATACAGGAGTCAAAGCATGCAGTGTCGAAAGATACGAATTTATTGTAAAAATATGACAAGTTGAGTTATATATGGACTGATATTGTAAAAGTTTGATATCCCTGTAAAAAACACTGTATAGATAGTGACGAGGACAGGTATATTTTCTCACAAATTATTGTGCTGAGGCCATGCAGTGCATTATATAAGCAAACTAATGGTCGGAAATTATTTTAATCCGAGAAAAAACATGCTGGAAAAAAAAGGAACAATTTTGCGGTAATATTTCGGCGATTTTTGCTATCATGCACAGGAAGAGATGAAGTTCTAAGAAAGTAATACTACACTTTTTGACTATTTAGAACTAACTGATCAACTGACTAGTTAATAGTGTTATTTACGTTTGACCTAATCTCTTGGGCTTGGCTCTTTCTGCCAATTGTTTATGTCCGCTATGCCGATAACATGAATAGTTACGTTTTGAAAGTAACTATAAAAGTAATTCTTTCATTTCTTGTTGTCGGTTACATCAGAGTTTCCTGACACTCGGGTAAGATGGCGTGCCGGTTGGTCAAGTAAAAAATAACACAAAGCCGACGTCGCAACGACACACCTTAACCGGAAATGACTATTGACATTTTCCGGCAACATTCTTAACATGAAAATGCAATGTTTTTTACAACCAATGCGAAAATGGAACGTTTTGAAGAAGTTAGATGTGACTTTTTTCATGTGTTGATGAGACGTGAATCGTAGAACAGTCGGTCTTAGGCTTCATCAAGGTCGTAAATTTCATCCGTTGTTCGAAGTGTCACAATATGCTGTCAAAGTGCCACTTGACTATAATAGCATTTGTGACGAACTTCCGGCATGTATTGTTTTGCTATTTCCGATTTGGATTATGAAGCAGTGTTGAAGTTTTATAATTACGAAGGGTTAAAATATAGTATTTAGGTAGGAACTTTTACTCCTACCAAACCAGTGATACACACAACATAGGCTATTTTTGTTGGAAATTGTTACTTTATAAAGCGTAGATGACCTTGGGGTCAGGATAAATAAAGAACGTGGTTGTACACATCTTGATCATGGCAGCTCTACCTCAAGGTAAGCGGTCGTGTTTTAGTATGTCCCTTTGGTGTTATTTCCATATACAGATTATTACGTCTTGTATGCGTGAGTCACAGTCCGTTTCCGCACTTCACTGTGACTGTCGCATCTCGAAGGCTTCCCAAGATTTACAAAGGAAATGCTTTTGTTTCGAGAGTTTGATGTGGAATAAAATATAGAAATTATATCAATTTGATTCCATACTGGGTGAATGTTGGCCCATCGGTTGTAAAAACACTACAACATCAACTCCTTGAAAAAAGGAGTTTTTACTCGAGCATTCAAAGTTTATATTCTATTAACAACCTTAACGCTATATTCAGGTAAGCGACGCAATTGTATTTTGGTTTCTATACGGTTACTGTATCATCAAGACGTGAATGATGCCAAACTATATTGTAGTATTGCGTTTCAAGATAAGATAGGAATTTTAGTACGTGTATCAGCAGTATTGGAGTTGCCATATAGCGTGATAAGTACTTTATTGTTGTAATGCCCCAAACGCGGTTTTGAATTTTCGTGTGGTGTACGAACTGTACTTAAATTTCGATTAATTTAGGCGAGGTATTTTATGGCGTTCATTTGTGTAGTCACAAACTCAGTTGGACTGTTAATTCATGTTGAAAATAATGTATGAACAATGGGGGGTTAGAAAATGTCTTGAGAATTAGGACCTTACTGTGAAGGCTTTATCCTGTTGTACCATTGCATCATAGTATTGGCAGTAAAACAACAAAGATTTAACGTGAAAAGAAAAATATTCGCGTATATAGAATTAAATTATGAATAGTGGAATGAAATATTGCTATCTACTGTATGGGTGGGAAATAAACAAATATAATTACATTAAATGAATTTCATGCAAAGTGCTGCATTGTGCTTTGTCAAATGACCTGTTTGTTTTCCATCTTACTGTTTACATGTCCCATGATTATTTTGCTATTAAATTATTGGTAGAGTGTAAATGTTGCAAATATAAATAGCTTTTTTTAACATCTAGATATATACTCATCAACACTGTTCCCAAAATGACTTTATATTTCTGTTGGAAATATTCTGCCAATCTAATTTTTCCTCAAATTGAATGACCACAAATTGAATGATAACTTGCATATCTGACAAATTTATTTGATTCATACTCTAAAGTTTGGCACAATCCAAGATTTTCAAGTGTCTATACACACAGATACTCAATGAGCATTGTTTGTAGTCTTTGAACATACCTACTAAGCAGATTATTTCTATTTTTAACATAATTACAGAAATTCTTTTTGTCTAAAAGTTATTGCTAAACTTCTTTATTAATTAATCAACATATACTAGAATTCTTGCTGGGTATTAAATATGTAATTGCACCAATATTTTCAGTCATCTATTATAATCATGACATGATCAAAAACTTTCCATAAGAAGGGGATATTAATCATATGATGTAATTCTGTTACATTTACAAACAGTAAAACTCTTATATTTATAACCTGCTGCATAAATCTGCAGCTAAAGTACAATCCCAAAGAACTTACTCCAAAATTTTAGTTTAAAATATGAAATATCGAATGATATAAATGTGTAACAAATAAAAAGAGACAATTTTTGTTTGTATAATAAGATTGTAATTTCATATTTCGCATCTATACATGATGTTAATTAACAAACCATAAACAGGTGTATTAGTGGGGCATGATTTAGTTTCAAAATAGCCTTCATTCATTTAGATTATTTTCAAATTTGTTCTATGTAGGACATTCTGTTGTCCCATTTGTCATGCAAAATAATGCTGAATCAAATCTGTATCCAACAATGGTAAAGCAAGAAAGACATGGTCATGAAGCAACATTTATGGGCGAGAATTTTCCAGAGGGTAGGTATATATATGAACATAAATATTTTCTTCACTTTTGCATATCTATAATTGTAACTTTATTACAAAACCAAGTGCTCATTGTTGATTTCATGTCAGTGGTTGTGCTAGATTACACATAAGAGAGGTTGAGATACCCTGGTTTTGGTAATTGGTATACGGGTATGGGTAGCCATATTTTGTTTAATGTTTCAAGATACAAACAATGCTTACTTCAAGAGCCTAAAATCTTAACCAGGGTATTTTAGCCTCTCTATATAAGTAACTGTGTAAGTTGTAAGTAAACACCAATTTAGTCAAGATACTCAATTCTTTGCTATAGAGTTAGACTTACCACTTATTATTCACTTTTTATGCATTAGTCAACTGTTTTCATATCAGAACATCACTAGTTTCATGCATATCTGTTTTTGTACATGGGGTCAATTTTTCCTGAAATCATTCACCTGGCCTCAAAAATGGATGCCAAGTGGCACATAGATTTATACACAGGCAAACAAAGCTGTCACTAGGCGGATATAAACCCGGTTTACCCCTTTGTTTGAACGTCTTTTGAATCAACACTCTGACTCCGCAGTATAGTGTCTCTGATATAAGAATTAAGTTATTGGAGACTAGACATGAGACATCTTACCTCAGTTTAAATCGTGCCGTATATTTATGTGATTATTCTTCTATTATTTTCTTTCGAATCTATATTATTAAATAGATCAACAAGACCATGACAATGCAACTGTGCTTCGTTTGAAGATATCAGCAAGTCAGCAACAAAAACCATACAATATTCAATAATGTCTAAGACGGATGTTCACGGCAGAGTGTATACTGTATATAGTATAGACGGGAAGTCGAGACAGTGTATCTGTCGTTTTCCCAAATCCAAACTTTATATTGATGAAATCATAGATTATAGAGACTCACGGCAAGGCAAGCGGAATTTTTCGGCTATTATGTTTCCTCGGGTTGCATTTTTAGACTAAATTTAGTTCGTTCTGTATCTTATCAAAATTCCTTCCATTTCCTAACAATAAATCATATTCGCAATGTAATCGTCATGATCATAAATCATATATTTCAAAACAATATATTAAATCAGGCAGTCATAGCTTGTGCCTATCAGAGTTAGATAAACTACATTTACAAAATTCATCTTCGCTTTTTAGATCCCAGACAGTGGTCATGCCAAGATGTGCGAAATTGGCTAGATTGGATGGGAATTACATACAATATAAGAAATATTGATGTTTTGAAGTTTCATATGAATGGAAAAGCTCTGTGCCTAATGACTCTAGATATGTTTTTATACCGGGTACCTACGGGAGGCAATCTATTGTATCATGATTTCCAAAGTCGTTTACAGAGAACCGTTCATGGAGATAGGTAGCTAGTGTCTATATAGGATTATAATAATATAGTTTATTATTTTATTCAGAATAATATTTTAGAATACTCTATATTTTACATGCATGTTTACCAAAGATTTAGCATTCTTAAAGCACCTCATCTAAAATCGTTGTACAAAGATAGAATTGTGTTCATTTTTGATAACCTATAACAAAGCACACGTCGCGATATTTATATGTAAACTATGAATATTTGATAAATAAGATAAATTAATTATACTTTATTTGTATATGAAATCGAATTACTTCTTCTTTTTTATTTTTACAATGCACAAGTTCGCACTGCACAATTCCCCGCAAAATAAAGTAGGGATTTCATACCTCTATAGCCATCCTTTGGCTTTGGTTGTTTGGTTGAGGCGTTCGATTATCATGCAGGAAGTTGTTCTGGTGCTAGTTGTTGACCTACATGGTCAACCTCAACTGGAGTTCATCGACTTCATCTGGAAACGGCCTTCTCAATCGTAGCAATTCGCGTACAAAATCTTTAGCACAACTGTCGGCTAGAGCGAAAAGCTAAGCAGGAGAACGAAATCTCGCCGGGTTTCTACGCCTGTGTTCATCCAAGCGCACTACGCCTCATTAAATCTTTCGCAAAATTCATGTACACTACCGCCCTTTAAAGGCTGCTTTCCACTTACGCGTTTTTTATACGCACGTACACGTACGGAAAATTTTAAATGCTTTTAAATCTTTTTTATTTAACGTCTAGGTCAACTAATGCATACTAAAATATGCAGAAAACTAAGTTTTTTCAGTTTATTCACTTAGTTTTTTCAAATGTAACGTGTACGTGCGTATGAAAAACGCGTAAGTGGAAAATAGCCTAAAGGCTAAAGGCTGCTTTCCATGCACTGTCGCGTTTTTTACACGTACGTATATGTCACGCACGCAAAAGTTTGATAAATATGAAGATAAACTTCATTTAATGACGCTAACATTGTCAGCTGTAGCTGGTTCCACAATGGGCGTGTAAAATACTTTAAGATTATCACAAATAGAATAATAGGGAACAAGCGCATGCAAATATAAAAATATTTAGATGCATAGGGTTGGATTCTGTTGGTGATTTCGAGCCGTTTGAATCGATATATTTTTGAACCCATGGCCGTCGTAACAGAACACTGCTAGCGATTTTCGTGACGACACGCAAGTGAGTCGATGCAAAGTCACAGTGTATTTCCTAAGGTTCTTTGGGTATTCTCTACGATTCACAGTACTCCAAATCTTGTCGACCGTAGGATCCCATTTTTATACTATCAGGGTCACACACACCGGACGCGATACGCCAATTAACGCGACGCGATTTGTACGAATTTTTGAGTTTTCCAAAGCAACTAAGTTTGATCTTTTTATGGTATTCTTGATAATTAGCGAAGCATAGCACATTTTGACATGTTTGGGGCCAACAGCTCTCAAAATTTCCTTCTGTAGAATTGAATTTATTTGCTTAAAAAAAAATGATAAGACTATATATCGCCCGGGAGAAGATAAAAATTACTTCAAAAATATACTTACTCTATATATAAGATTTAGACTATTATATAAGACTATATTATATATACGCTACGAGTTGCTAAATCGGTAAATCTCGTTGTCCTCCCGGACAGTAACCTGTCACTATTAATAAAATAGAACAGGTGTGGAACACAGAAGTCTCAAGAAAGTTTTTTGAAGCTTAATTAGCTGCTTAAGTGTTGCTGTTCAAGTATCCTTAGGCTTGCTCAAGTGTTATACAAGGGTTCCTGATTTTCGCGCGCGACGCTGAGCGTCTTGCAACTAGGGTAGGTAATTTTATTCTTTTCTCTGAGTTTTTCCTGAATTATGCACTTATTATGTAATTGTCGCTTTGTCGTTCCAGGGGCACTCTGGAGTGTCCTCGAAAGGGGGCGTCTCGAGATCACGTTTTCCTTTGGGCGATTTGTGCCGTGAAGTTTGTTAGGTGTGGGCCATGTGGCTGCTTCCTTAAATTCAATCCAATATATTTTATATGATATTTGTTTTTAGGGGAAATATTTGTTTTTATTGCTCTGACATCTTTATTATCTGTACGGAAGGCATGTTTACGTGAGACGCATACGAAAAATCGTGCGCAAGTTGGTGGCACCCGAGAATTCTGGTCATATTGTACGTAAGACGCTTGCATGGCTGTTTGTTTTAAATCTGTTCTCTTGACAAATTGGTAAACGCAATCCTATTATCTTCCGGTATTTCCGATAAGGAAATATTTAAATTTTAGCACTGTTAAATTGATTTTAATTTACCAGTATTCTAAGGTGTATACCGGAGTGCGTAAAATCCTTATCCGGGATCTGCGTGGAACAAAATCCGAACAAAAAATTTCGATAATGCAGTTGGTGTCGACGAAACACTAGCTACTGCAAGGTAACGTCAAAGAAGAGGTAAAAAAAATTTAACTGGGACATAGCTGTCCCAGTTAGTTCCATATACGCTATGACACGTAATTCGTCGACACTAATTTTGAGAAAAATTAAATCCGGTCAAACCGCCCCAATATGGGTCGTTGCCGGAATCGCGTGGTTGAAAATTGAAAGTAGCTAAATCTTATTACGCCAAATATCTCAAAATAGCTTCGTCGGAAATTTCAGCTATTTCCTTTTTTTCTGCCATGAAGAAAGCCTTGTTGTGGAGGCCTGTTGTGGTCAATCCTCGTGCATGTTGAACTTAACTTTGGCTCTCTCTTTGTCTCTAGTGTTCGCCACATGATATACAGTAGCTACAATTAAACTTAGCACATTTGCTTGCTCAAATTTTGTTTAAGGTTTTGGAAAGTACTAGTAATAGTAATATAGTTGTTGTCGAGTAATAGTAATAGCTGTTCTCTCTATTGATCTTTTTATATTGAGACTCAACAGAACAAACATTCATACAGTTTTTTGTGAACAATTGACATATTTAAATGAAATATATTTACATTTTTATCTTTTCCTAGCACTGAAAATTATTTGACAGGTAAATTTATAAACTCACAAACCTCATTTATCATTTATGTCTAGAGACACATTCTCTTCTTGAACAAGTAAAGAAGGAAATTCTTTTGGCATCATTCTCGGCGGTTCCTGATCTGGATCACATCGATATTTTTTAAAGTCTGTGATTCCAATACTGCGAAGATAATCCTCGTCAATTAAACACTTTCCATTTAATCTAAAAAAAAGGTAATTTTATTACTTTGAACACTTTGTAACTATTTTATTGATTTTTCTTGATATTATAATTACTGTAATTTTGTCAATTTTTGAAATTTATAAAAACTTTATTTATAAAAAAATGTATAAAAACTTTGCATTTTTTCATGAAAACAAGGCATTTAATTCATAAAAAAATTCATTAATGATTGATGTTCTTGATCTTCTTTATATTTGGACAACCCAAAAGACATCCGTGTTGTCTATGCTGAAAATAAGTAAAAACTCATACAACCCTCAAATAGACCAAAATACCTATCTGTAGTTTCTTGTGCAATAGCTACACATGCATCTCCGAAAATAGCAGGATTTCTCATTATTTTCGACTGCACTCCATGAACAGTTGTGACATGAGATTTGATTACAGTAGCAGGCCATAAAGCTGTGATAGAAACACCTGAACAATTAGAATAAAATTGTCAGTTGTTGATATATACTGAGTCTATTCATAATATTGTGTCCTGCATTATTTATTTCTTGTGAAATCAATTATTCTTATGGCATGTAAACAAAAATATATAATGAATATCTTCCCCCCGCCCCCCAATTATTGTTCTCCAAGGACCCCTTCTTCAATTGACACAATTTAATATTGCATGCTTCAGACAGTACTAGAAAAACTATATAGAGAAATCTCTCAATTCAATTGATAGACACCTGGAGGAGGTAATTTTTACTACAGTTAGTGAAAATGCTAGTATCTAGTATAGTTAAAAAGTTTCAAATACATACCTGTTCCACACAATTCAGTACTAAGTCCTTGAACCAAAACTGACATTCCAATTTTACCAACAGCATATGGAGTTTTTCCTTTGAAGAATCTTGAATATATTGGAGGGGAAACCATGATAATTTTTCCACTTCTCTTTCCTAGAAAAGATGGCAGCACAGCCTGTATCGTTGAATAAGCTCCTCTAATATTTACATCCTGCATCAAATCAAATTTCTTTATTGGTGTATTAATGACCTTATCCCACAAAATTGCACCGGCATTGTATACGACAACATCCAAAGAGCCAAAATGAGAGTTACATATCTCCACAGCATTATTAATATCCTCAATGTTCCTGACATTGCACTCAATTGGCAATGCTGATGCCTGCAATCCCAAGTTTTCGATTTCTTTGGCTGTAGTGAAAATTGTGCCTGGTAACTTGGCTGTATTCTCTGTCGTTCTAGAAGAAACACCAATATTGTAACCAGCATTTGCGAATGCTAAACAAATAGTCTTTCCAATGCCCCTAGAGGCTCCAATAACCAAAGCAGTATGACCATGATGCATACTTCAAAAGACAAAAGGAATATACACTGACAGACTGACTGACAATGACTGACTGACAGTCTGACACTACTGATGTAGACAGGAAACGTTGAAGACTTCAGGAGAATGGAAACTTTGAAGACTTCGAGAGAATGGAGAATAGAAGTCATTGAAGAGTAACTCAGAGTAACTCAGTAACTGGTAACATGAAGTATGCTTTTATTCTTCACAAATCACAAATCAGTGATCACAAACCATTTTCACAAACCTTGTTCCCAGTTTTCTTCCGTTCACGCCAGGTTCACGCCTGCAAAAAAGAGCGGGAAACATGGTTGGATGGAAAGATAGAAAGTTTAGAAATTTATACTAAAATCCTGTCACCGTTAAAGTTAAACACTCTTATAATGCCCTGGAAAGTAGCTGAAGTTGAGACACAGGAGGAAGAAGCTACTGTAAATCTGCTGAGGTATGAAAAGTTCACGAATTACCACGTAGTGTAAAAATGTTTGGCAACACTTCGTAATCTATTAAATTTTTAGTCGGCTGCTCCAAAACCTTGGGACGGCTTTTATACCTGCAAATATTCGTTGCATTGACTCGCTGCCAGTATTCAAAATAGCATTTATTTCATAGCCGACTTAAGTTTATATTATGACATTGACTCGCTCCCGGTATTCAAAATAGCATTTATTTAGCCGACCTATGTTTTTATTATGAAATGACTGAATTGAGTCAATCATTCGCTGGTATAGTTAAGGCGATGGTATAATAGCCTTTCACAGTTGGTTATGTCTTTATATATGACATACGTACCAAGCAGAAAATTATACAAATAAACTGCATACGAACTGGGAAGCAAATATGGAATATACAAAGTTAACAGCTACCAGAACACCTACTTAAAACACTTGTAGGTTATAAGCTTAAAGTCAAATTGACAATGTTCTATGAATTGTTTCTTTTCCACCGCTTAGTCTTGCACTGTATTCTTGTTGACTCCATATAGATATATGTTAGTCTTTATCGTACAGTATTTTCCATGTTTCATTTAATAGCTATATATATATCCTCTTGGCAGCTGGCTTTATATAATAAGTATGAAAAGTATAGTACTGTATGGGCTTAATTAGAGATGGAATACTATTTGGAATAAAACAGAGGATAAGCTGTTGCCTGTTAGTATATATTTGTTGATTGCCAAGAGCATATGTCTTTTTTACTTTCTTTGACCAACAAAACGATTTTTATGAAAATGTTTTTGGATAAATTTATTTAATTAAAAATTTCATATTAATAAATTTTTACTTAAATGGATTGCACCTGGCTCAAGAATTTGTACTCTTTCAAGTCTCTTAACCATCCTGTGCTTTTGGTGCATGTTTTCTCAAAAAAAATGTATAGAACTCTGCAGAAGGTTCTATTTCACTCAAAACTTTAGAAAAAAACATTGTAATTCAGCCTTAATTTTCTGAAAATGATGAGGCAAATGTGTATTAATTTGCTTTATAGGTAGTGATTAGGCTACCAACTGTTGAGATAGTTGGGCACTAGGCACTAAGTATATATTTATTTAAAGTTCAAATACTTTCAGGCAGGAATGAACATTTCCACTAAGGGTGTACATGTATGTGCAACCACTGATCAACTTTCCATAAAGACTAAAATGATTACATCTACAACAATTTGTTTCATTTAATGATTTAGAAGGGAACAAAGTGGTGCTTTGTACAAGGTTGATGAACTTGCAAGAATCACATCAGATGAAAAAGTTGATTTCAGACCACTAGTCACGTCAAGTGCAGTATCTGCTGGAGGGATCTCGTTATCACTGTTCAATGAAATCTTTATATTTCACGGTGAGCATTCAAATTTCATATCGACTGTGTCATTTGAAAGCAATGTCGATACAATGGCATGGTGCCCCGATTCAGAATTCCTGGTCATTTGTGACAGTTCCGGAACTATCCATTTCTTTTCTATTACTCTTGGAGACATAGTGTTCACTTCCAACCTAGTCGAGGTCTCGGAGGAGAAGTTGCATTGTGACTCTTATTTCAGTCATTCCATGTTCGCCAGCAGTCAAGAAAGGGACGGTGTTAATCTTACGATTTTGTCGCATGACTGTTGCGTGTTCTCTTTCAAAGATCTCCCCTTACGCGAATTGTCGAAGGCACTTGAATCAAATGACCTAGCTTCCATCGGTAAACTAAAAGAAGACATCCAAATGGAAATCTTAAAAGTTTCGGATGTGCACGATAACACCGGTTATTTTGTGCAAACACCTGGTTTAAAATCTTCATTGATCTTGTCCGGAGCAGGACGTGCTGCGATCAGCATGTGGAGTGATCAAAGTTTAGTGGATATAATTGAAGCAAACTTTTTGGATGGTGCCTTCGTGAAAAAGTGTGATGTAAGCCTTGATGGTAAATACATACTTATCTTAGATGGAGAGTCAAACCTAACCATGTGGGATACAAATGCGTTAATAATGTTGTCAGTTCCTTGCCATGCAATTAAAGATTTCATTTTGACAAGCAGCAGTGCAACATTTGAAACTGGTACCACAACATCGGACTCGGGGCAAGTTATAACGTTATCCGAAACCGTCGATGGTGAAGGGAAAATGCAAATCTACCAATTACCAAATTTTGAAGAAATATTTTCAAAAGAGGTTGCCAAGAGCTGTTCTCTTGCTAAGTCTAATTTGCAAGAAAAAGTGAATTACACAGAAGAGTATGTCGGCGATGCTAGCAATAACAATATCCAAGGTCTTGCGTTCAAATGTCTCTCAGAATCATCTCCAGAGCACCGTGTTTACAACTTGATTAGAAAGAAGAAATTTGATGCTGCTTTGGAATTTTCAAACGTTTTTGGACTGGATGTTGAATTTGTTTACAAAGCAAAAGCGAGTACGATTTTAGCTGACATACCCACTAAGATCTCGGAAAGTGATAGCAATGCTAAGGACAAATTGCTGTCAGTGGATCAACTGATTGATGACCTTGAAGAAACCCTTCAAAACGTACGCAGTATTGAATTTTGTGTTGAGTGCTGTCTTACAGCTTCACCACCTCAACTGCGGCAAGTTCATCGGTTGCTTTGTTTTGCTAAAGACAAAATCAGTAAGGATTTTGGTAAAAGCAAGAACAAGCACAGCAAAGAGATGAATAATGTTCTGTTTTCGATACACCGCCTCGAGACGTTCCGGATGGTTTTTGGAGATTCTAAATTCAGTGGGCATAAATGGCAACTGTTTTCAACTGGATGTATGTTCAGCAAAGTGACACAAGCACTTAGTGAGGGCAAATTATCCAATGCAGCGGTCATTTGGGTACGTCACCATACTGAATTTGAAAGTGCCTTTTCGTGCGAAAAATTGCAAAAACTTTTGGCATCTGTTAGATCAGACTTACCATCTTCGAGTATCGTTTCATGGATGAAATCGTATCTTGTTCCTTTTATCATATGTTCAGTAAGTGATCGAAAAGCTTTGTTTGTTTTGGCTTCCTGGCTCGAGCAGCGAGTAATTTCCTTGGAAATTGCAGAAAAAGAGAACTGGCCTAACAATGGGCTTGAAATGGCCACGCTTTTGTTTGACGTCGTATCGAAATGCATAGACGAGAACAGCAACTACATGAATGTTCCAACACCAGTTATTGTCAGCCAAGACTATGGTTCTGCTCTTGTTCATGTATCTCTGAAAGACAAGGAATCGAACCCGCTATCATCATTGGCACTATTGGTTGAACATTTAACAGAGTTAAAGAAGCTTCATATCAACTACCACTGTAAACTCCCTTTGGCAGAGTTCACAAAGGAGACTCCAACTGGAATTATGTTCAAAATGTTGGACTGTGTCTTGGCTCTGACTTTAATTCCCAACGTCATCAACAACCAAATCGCACAATATGGGGTACAACATGGTTTCCAAATTGATGATGTTCTTTTGAAGTATATCAGTTACAAAACGAAGCAGGTTTATTCATCTATTTCATCAAATAGTTACTATGAAGATCGGTTTGTCGAAATAACCAGGTGTATCAGGACGAGGGCAAAACGACTTGAGGCTATTCTGATGCTAATGTCCTGGGCATCAGTTCCTTGGAGACGCACGATTGAGGAAATGGTTCGCAAAGCAATGAACGACGACCCATCAAATTCAAGTTTACAAATGAGCTATCGCTTGATGGAGATAAAGAAGATTTTAAGCCACTATAACATTCGTGACATCGAACTCTCTAGTGACTTACATCTTAAAAACGTTCTTAAATATATGCTTGGAACGTCGCACGAGACCGCATTGCAGGATGCATTGCGAATTGTTGAGACCTATCATTGCATGTGTGAAGAAGATATCTATGTCATCAGGCTTAGAAATTTGTGCTTAAGAGGTTTACCTAACGAGTGCGTGCAATTGTTGGTGGATGTTGACGACTCGAAGGTCATGTCCGTCGCCAATTACTTTCTTACATGGGTGCTACTTGTTGTCGATGTTTATGCCGACGACGTAGATGACCGAAGTGAGCGCAAATTGGTTATCCAGGCCGGTATCCAAACTTTGGAGTTTCTACAAAACATTGGTGAGCTTACAGATGAAACCAAAGTTACCCTCAGTACTCTGAAGAGCATTCTTGCACTTGAAAAGGAGTTTTCAATATTTGTTACCTATCAAAACTACAGCGATGCAGAGACAAGTAACGAGATACTTTCCGCTCATCTGAAGAAAAGTAATATTCCGATACAAAGCTTTGTCGGGATACAAGAAGGTGCCCTGGACAAACTATCGCGGTTAGCTAGCCTGTTTGGGTTTTCTCTTTTGCAGCTACAAAACAAGATTATGCTTCAGTATATTTCTGACGATTCGAATTGTTTGGAGTCATTTACTATGTCAATTTGCAATGCATGGTTGAATCTGAATATGTATGAACTGTCAAGCGAGGACGTTTTTGCTCTATGCATGTCCTTCCTGAAACAACAAGTTACCGATGGTAAAGATATCTTTTCATCAACAGATTTCAATGTCCCTGCGATGACTTATATGTTAGCTTGCCGTGCAGCAACGAATTGTGAATCAATCTACCTCAACGATTATTTGGAATTGTGTAGAGTGTGTTGGCTGTCAAATATGCTCTATGTAAGTTGCGAAAGTGGTGATTTTAGTCTATCTACATCAACTTGTGGAGAAGATTTACTTCTACTGTGGAACACTGCCAGCCGGTTTCGAGATAATGGTTTTGTTTTAGATATTAACTCGGCATTTCCGCTTTACAACACATTTGTTAAGTCAGTCCTGTTGGCAGTTAATAGTCCCGCTGAGCATTTGGAAAGTCTTGGAGTTGCATGCCGAGATTTGGTTGTTCACTTGGAAGAAAACAATCTGCACGAACTAGCTTTACATTATGCTCTTTGCTCACTACGTCATCTTCTTGTCTTCGCCTCACGTGATGAGATTGCACTGTCTACAGTAAATGAAGATGAGAAACAAACCCCGAGAATAGCATTGCTACATCAAATGGGTGTACATGGTGTTCAACACGTTTCTTCAATGTTACTCAACCTTGTATCGAAGGTTATGCATGACAGTTCTATTGACTACAGCGTTGCCCTTGGTTATATAAGCTCCGTTTCCGAAGATGCTGCACTACAAAAGTTAAAGATTGATTTTGCCGTAGATGAAGGGCATGACCCATCCCAGGCTATTGCAGCCTTCAATGTTTTTTTGGGTTATGCTAAATGCTTCTGCGATGAGAAAATGGTCAATGCTGTCGAGGAATTGTACTCAGATGCGTTGTGGCACACAAAGCTCCAGAAACTCGGCATTACTTGTGAGAAATTGTTGATTGGTGAAACGAAAGAAGTTAGAAAAGTCCTCGAACTTCTGCTAGAAAAACCTGCAATCGATGTTGCAATCATTGTGGAATTTTGCAAGTGTTTTTCCATCGATATTAACGATACTTTGCATACCTATGTCAAATTCAATTTAGCGGGAAGTTGTTTGCTTGGTGATACAGCAGCCCTTAGCGTTCCCTCTGATTCTTCAAGCGCCATCATCAAGTTCCAAGATAATCTTGTCCGTGCCCTCGACTATATGTCAAAACAGTCAAGTGTGTCCGAGTTGCTAGCCTTGCTTAAAGATATCCTTATCTCCCTTCCTCTATATGATTACGAGCGAGTGTTGATAGTTTTGGATGAAATTATCAAATTGTCTAGCAATGAAGATCAAGAGATTTTTCGAAGACAGTTGGAAGTACTGAATATTTTAGCGAACTATACGCGCATCGCTGTCCCGTCCGAATATGAGGAACATTATCAAGCTAAAGAGTTATCGTTTGGTGCGAAGGAGCATCCTGTCCTTCCCAAAAGCTTAGCGGAGAAAAGACTACCGTTTCACCCACTGTTTTCTGGTAAGCCTTGGAAAATTATTGCACCGGAGCTAAATGACTGCACTATCACGAAGCTACTTCGACTTTGCCAAATTTTGAAGATGCAGGAGGATCAAGCGTATGTCGTTGCTGCGAACAACTTGGTTTCGTCATGTTTGCGTGAAAAGCCTGCAGATGAAGGCGCGTCTGACAATCCTTGCTCAAGTATTTACTTCGAAAAGGCAGCTAGTCTTCTTTCAGCAGTAAGAAATCCCGAGTTAGCAGTGAAGACAGGATTGACTCTGCTCTCCAGATGGCCTCAGTCCGAAGAAAGAGTGAAAGCAGCCAGTGCTTTAGTTGAGTTAGTCCAGCAGTGGAAATCAAATTGCCAAGGTGAAGAGTTGCAACTAGCGGAAAAAGTTTTAAAGACCACCAAAGATTTATGCCAAGAAATTGTCATCCAACATATTCTGCATTCGAACGGTGTGACAGATGAGAGTTCCTTTAACCTGAAACGAAAGCCTGTTAAGCTGATCTTCCATTTGTATGAAACATATGGTTGCGTACCGGACGAAACGCGACCCAATGTCCACAAGATTGCTGAAGAAGTTGCTGCAGCAAGTGATCTAAATATCACGAAAGTTCGCAATCGTCTACTTATGGAGTGGCAGCCGTCGTCTTCTTCACGAGGCATAAGATCTGCAGAGAATTCCACAGTTGAAAAGCATGTAAAAGATCGGGATAATCTTAAGCGAGTCGTGTATCTTATGCAAGCAGATTCCATTCAGAAGAACGCACTTTTCCTGTTAAACTTTGCCTATAGACAAGGACCATCAAAGATAACATACGAAAGCCGAGTTAAGGCAATGAAATTACTCTTTAATATTGCGTCGCAAGAAATTATTGAGTCTGTTGCTAGTGGTTCCATAGATGAGCTCAAGAATTACATGAAATCTTTAGTTTATCTTTCGGAATTGGCGCACTTGCATTTAAATCAGACCGTCGAGTCGTTTCAACGTTGCAACAAAGAAGGTTTAGTGAAAGGCTTGTGGAAGAATCACAAAGATAATGCACATGCAATTTTATTGATTGCTGATATATGTTTAGATTCAAAGATTTCCGACCCACATATTTGGACAAACATCCTTCGACAGCTCTTTCATCTTGGATTGATCACGTACTTGAGTAACCTTTTGCCTCGTCTCACCCAATTTCCAAACCTTTGGCAGGCATCCAACCTTTTAAAGGTGTGGACAGATCTTGCAATTCAGACGTTGGAAAAAGCTGTTCACCCATTATCGCCGGAGGAGGTAGAATTCTGTCAAAGGTCCATGCAATTGCTGCAGAAGTGTCCAATCATGACTGAAGTAATTACTTTGTCGCTCTTCAACAAATTGTTGGAACTTCGTTTGCATTCCTATGCACTTGCATGTTTAACGTTACTTCAACCAAATGTCATCTTCCCTAGCCTTACGAAGCTGATGTCTGTTACTACTCCAAAAGAAATCCTGGACGTAATATCCAAAGAACGGTCTTTAGGACAATGTTACGTTAATCCGGACGCTGTTGAATCTCTTGTCTTTGACTTTTTTTACGCTTCTGATTCGTACAAAGATCTACAAGACTCGGAACATTACTTCAAGTTTGCCGACTACCTAATCAGAAAGAGCAAATTTTCCGCGATGGTCATGACTTTAGTAAAGAACTACGAGCTTAAAGCTGCCATAGAGTTAGCGCTCCATTATGACAGGCATGCTTTTCCATTGAAGAATGAAAGGCCTCATTTTGATGTCAAACCACCTGTAGCTGGTTTAGAGGATTTAGTGGCATTTTTGAAGAAATTTGCATTGTTGAATGAAGCAGCCCCATACCTACCTGATTTTGAACGACTGGCCGTTGTCGAAGATGAAAAGCCCAAGTTGGCTTCAGACAGTTGTAATATAGCGGAAGATGAATTTTTCGATGTCTTTTGAATGGGAACGCAACATATAACATTTTTCATGGGTTACCATATTTTCTTCAGTACTTTTTATACAACGTAATTTGTTAGTTAATTATATGTCGTTTAAAGCCCCGTTTACACTACAGTCAATTTATTGGCACGGCACAGCTAAAATGGGTACGCGTACCCAATTTTATTAGTGCTCAGGCTACCAAAGGACTTGGTGCGTATTAAATGGGCACGGGTATGCTTTTTAGCCGTGCCGTGCTGATGAATTGAGTGTACTGTAAACAGGGTTTAATTGCATTGGGCTTACTATAATGGCGTTTGCATGAATATTGCATTTTTTGCGTGGATAAGAGACTCGTATCATATTGACAATGTAATGTTTGTTATAATGGTTATATGTTTATCAACTATAATAAATTTATAATAAATCGTTAATTTCAAGTATGCGAAATGGTAATGCCCTGCGGCTACAGTTACATATACATTTTACTCGCGTTAGTATAAGGGCAAAGGTATGGCAAAATAAATTGGACAAAAGTATATGGAGAAGTGTAAGTGTTCGTCGAGAACTAACATACAATATATGAGAAATGCATACTATAGTCGAGCAAAGTGTAACTGTGTAAACGACAGTCGAGAATTGTGATAGACAGCCCAGAAGTGTATGCTATAGACGTTTAGAATTTCCCTGTTGTATGCGACAGTTGAGAAAACTGTGAGCAATGATTAAGATGGTCTTGTTCCAAAAATATTTTTCTTTTATTTTAAAAGATATAAAAATTTTTCATGCCACATTCCAAGCCAAGTTGCTCTGAGTGAAAAAAGACTTGTAGGAATCTTTAATCACTATAGTTACCCAGACACACCCAATGGTGGAAAATAGATTTTTGTAAAAACGATAACAAACTACGTTTCAGCGCTAGAACGACGGAATTATTTAGATCTAAATATTTTGTCTCGGAGTTGAACCTCGAATAAATAAGGTTTTTCAGTATTAAACGTTTACCTTTATTACTTTTTGAATTATCAAGTTAGCTTTGTTACTTTTGAGTTATCGTGCACGAAAGTAAGGGGAATGATAATTTCAGATTGCTAAGTAAAGCGACGAAAAACGTTTTACACATATTCATAATTATAGAGAACAATACAATAGAACAATGAAACAATAGAATTATAAGCCAATAGACCCCTTCTGTTTGCTGGGGGTAAAACCCTAATTATTAAAACTTTTGACATGCATATTATTTTCATGCCGAAGATCTGAATCTGTTTACTTCTGCCTGATTGTTTATTTCTAAAATGTTTAGATGAATTTTAGGGATGACAGTTTTATTCAGAAATTTTTGGAAGACCTTGATCTTAGAGATTAAATTCGTTCACACTTGTACGAGAGTAAGAACAATGGCAATGATGTTTATGGTTTAAAATTACTGAATTCCACCGCACATACACCTCTGCAAAAATATATGGCTCGCTTTTAATTCGAAGTATATATCTCAATTTTTGTCGAAGTGTCTATAAAATTGAAAGCTGTAGTTAGTGTAGTCATGCTTGTTGAGAAGACTGTTTCATTATGGTCTTCAAAAAAATATTTACATAAGATTAAATAAAAAATATGTTCTCTAATCTCAAGAGCTGATAGACTACTGCTGAAGAAAATGGTCATGCAACTGGTGAGTCGATGGTTTGAATCCGGCGAAGACTTTTTATCAAAAGGTTTAAATAAAATTTATATTAGGTAAAAAACATAGTCTGCAAGCTCAATAGCTGACAGCTTAATAGTGTAGAAAGCGGTCTTGAGACTGGTGTTGATGTATAAGTAAGTCGATGGTGCAAATAGCAAGCATAATTTTCATGAATAAGATAACCGGCCGAAAATCTCGTGGTTTGTTGGTTAAGACAATAATTTCCCGCAAGTCTATGCATGATTCGAATCAAAGCAAAACTTTTTTCATTATGTCCTTCTATATAGAAAAGGATAAAATAAATTAAATAACCATAGTCGTTAAGCAGAAGATCTTTTGGTCTACTGGTAAGTCGATGGTTAGTCGAACACTCGCAACTGGTAAGTCGAAAATGTTTTTCATTATCGCGTTAGAGAAAAGGTTTAGATAAAAAGGAAAAGGTATATTCTACTAAATCAGGAACCAATTGTCTAATGTAGAAGTTGGTAGGTCGACGTTGAATCAAGCAAAACTGTTTTTTATCATGACTTTCGAGAAAGGAATAAAGAAAATTAAATAACCATACCAATAACTGTTTTTCATTATGACCTTCAAGAACCTTAAGGATAAAGTAAATTAAATAACCATGTAGCCGTTCAGGCTTCAGGAGAAGATCTGGTGATATTGTAGTGAAGACATTGGGCTCTCAAGTGTTAAAATCGATGGTTCGAACCCAAGCAAGACTGTTTTTCATTATGAACTTCGAGAAAAGGATAAAGCAAATCAAATACCCATAGCCGGTCAGCAGAAGAACTCGTAGTCTAGTGGCGAGGACATTGGGCTCCCAAGTGGTAAGCCTATGGTTCAAACCCAAGAATGACTGTTTTTCATTACGAACTTCGAGAAAAGGATAAAGTAAAACTAGGGTACCCATAGGGTAGGGAGTGCTGCCTGTGAGTAAGCCATGCAATGAAAACATTAAACTTTTAGAAGAACAGAAATCATAACCACCGTAATTTTTTTTTACGTTCAAGAAGAGATTGGAAATATAAAATATAGTACAAAGTGCTTAGCCTCAGCTTATTATCATTATTTAAGGAAAATGACAAAAACAATATTGTTCCAGAACAGAAATGTTCTACGAAACCTATCAATAAAGTGTTTTTTATGCAACGGAGCCCCCAACAGAACTTAAATTTGTCAATTATGTTTTTAAATCGCTCAATATAGTTATTAAAACGTTATGAAAATGTTGTTTCTGTTAAGTGCAGTTCTTCCGTGTCAATCATTTTTTGCTGTAACGGATACGACGAATCCAATGAGATACAAAAACACACATGAAATAAACTTTTGATGATCTAGTGAGTGTCTTAACAAGACACAAAAACGAGGCGCAAATACAGCAACAAAACAGAAGAGTCGGCAACTGATGACAGATGACTGACAAAAATTCAAAAATCAATGCATTCAATTACTGATGCAACTAAGAACAAAGACTCGATTATATAACAATAGTTGAAGCCTCGCCTTCGGACCAAAATATCAACCTGGAAAATATAAATGAACAGTTAATAAACACCGCGCGCTAAACAAACAAAACAGACGCAATTTTTAATGATATATTGAATGATCGCTCAAATAAATGCACTATCCTAGTATTTAAGTCATAATTCGGCATAAAAGGCTAAAAGCCTATAGTAAAGTATATCGTTTAACAATATGAATAAAATATCGAATAAATAGGAACTCGACAGTAAAAAACTCACCAAAATACCTTATACCTCTAATACTTCGCAGGACTATAATATGTAGCCAAAACGTAGAATTACGTAAATTTCACCTTCTGTCTAAAATTTCAACTTATAAATTATAAAAGAACGGTTAAATATGAATAAAACATTGAATAAATATGAACTTGATTACAAAAAACTCACCGAAATAGTTTTCCTTCTTCGAAATAAATTCGCCAAAGTTTACGAAGCCAACACGTGGAATGGTATAACCTGACACCAACTCCAACATGCAATGCGTCAAAAATTTTCACCGCAGGTGACAAGAGTATTATGTTTCGTTTATATCGAAAATCTACTGGCACCCGAATACGCTAATACAATGTTCCAAAGCACGTTTTCACCTTTATTCACAATATAAATTAACATACCATACACGTAGTATCACGCACCGCACCGCGCAAGGTAAAAATCGTAGCCCTCCCCAAAATACATGAAAGAATTTCACAAACGTGTAACAATAAGGTCGTCAACAATAAGGTCGTCAAATTGCTGTTCGCCTGCTAAAATACAAAAGAAATATCCTACATTGTGTTCAGGTGAATGTTAATTATTTCTCTCTTACGCTACATAACATATGCTCTCAGCGTGTCAACTATGGCCGGAACTTAAATTCAGCCACCCCCAAAATAAAATATGTTCCTCCATCCCTGCCACTGGTACCGTCATGCAATGCGCCAAAGACAAATTTTGATTTGCGCCCCCATTTCTAAATTAGGATCTGCTGCCTTGCTCGCTCGCTTCAGGCTCGCTCGCTGCGGCAGCAATAAATTGCCATAGCTGCTCAGCAGAAAATCTTCGTGGCCTAATGGTGAAGACTTTGGGCTCCCAAGTGGTAAGTCGGCGGTTCGAACCAGCATAGGCGTACAGGCGCAACTTCGTTTGGGGGGGGGGCAAAAAAAATCGCCCGAATTTTTTAGTTATACATTGTGCCCGAATTAAAACTTTTACCAAATTTGTAACAATAGACTTGGCAAAGCGGTCGATGTGCTTTCAAGAAAGTGTAACAAAAATGACGAAATAGAATACAAATATGTGATATATATTACAAAATTTGGTTTGAAAAATTTTAGCTATGTAACTCCTCTTCAGTTTGCCCGAATTTTTGGCTGAACTTTGCCCGATTTTTTTTATTCTCGAAATTTTCGGGAGGGCCAAGTGCCCTCTTCCCCCCTATCTCGTAAGGCTATGAACCCAAGCATAACTGTTTTTCATTATGACCTTCAAGAAAAGGATAAAGTAAATTAAATAGCTATTGCCAGTAAACAGAAGCTCTCTTAGTCTAGTGGCGAAGACATTAGGCTCCCAAATATTAAAATTTATGGTTCGCACAAGCAAGACATTGCATGGGCTCTTAAGTGGCATGTCGATGGTTCGAACCCAAGCATGTCTGTTTTCCATTATGAACGTTGAGAAAAGGATAAAGTAAATTGAATAACCATAGCCATTCAGCAGAAGGTCTCGTAGTCTACTGGCGAAGACATTAGGCTCCCAAATGTTAAAATTTATGGTTCGCCCAAGCAAGACTGTTTTTCATTATAAACTTCGAGAAAAGTATAAAGCAATTAAATAAATATAACTATCGCGTTCAGTAGAAGATCTCGTAGTCTACTGGCGAAGACATTGGGCTCCCAAGAAGTGGTAAGTCGATGGTTCGAATCCAAGTGTGACTGTTTTTCATAAATTTCATTATGACCTTCGAGAAAAGGATAAGATGAGTTGAATAATGAAAACCGTTCGGCAAAAGATCTTGTGGTGTGGTCTAGTGGTTAAGGTGAAAGTCTCACGTGTAGGCAACCGATAGTTCTAATCTAAGAGTAGGTTGAATAAATTGCTGTAGGCTTCCAACAATCACCAGTGGTAAAATCTCGGTGGGAAAAATGGAATTTTTCCCACGCAGGATTCGAACCTACGCTTA